TTTATTTATTATTATTTTTTTTAAGATTTTATTTATTTATTTGACAGACAGAGATCACAAGCAGGCAGAGAGGCAGACAGAGAGAGAGGAGGAAGCAGGTTCCCTGCTGAGCAGAGAGCCCGATGTGGGACTCGATCCCAGGACCCTGAGATCATGACCTGAGCCGAAGGCAGAGGCTTAACCCACTGAGCCACCCAGGCGCCCCTGGCACTAATTTATTTTAACGTTATAGTCATATGTATGCATCTATTTACTTCACTGGACTGTAAGTTCCTTAAAGGCAGACAAGACATATTTTTATCTTTTTCCTCCTCAGTGCTTAGCATATAATGTGACACACAGTGGGTACCTTATACATAATTGTGAAATAAATGGGTACAAGAATGAATGAATGAATGAATGAATGATGAGGTTCTCTGCTCATATGACCAGCCAGATCCAGGCTAATCAGAGTGAGGAAACATGGAAAGAAAGGGGATTATAGAGGATACAAACAAAGTAGACAGATGCTAGACAGGCAGGGGGAAATGGCAGACATAGAGGGAGAAGAGGGAGAAGAATGTAAAACTCACAGAATGGGATTTGGAGAAATATCAAGAAAAACTTCCTGAGCCCCTAAAACTGGGCTCAGTTCTGGACTCTGCCATGGGAGAGATGGCAATAAGCCCCTGGAGTTAAGGTTCAGGTTGTGGGACTTGTGCTTTGCAATCTAGGCTATTATTGCATCCTGTCCTCATGCCAGCTGTTTTCAGGCTTTGATCCAGGAACCTTGTGCCTGTTCCCCTCGGCCTAGGTGGCTTTGGTGCCAATTGGATTCTGCAACTCTTCTCTGTTGACAAGGCAGACCTAGGTCAGTATAGAAGGTAACCCTTTCCCACTGCTTACATACCTACTTCCAGGAGGGAAATCATATACACTCATTCCTTCCATACTGTGCCCCTTGCTAGTCTTTCCCAAAACAAGGGAATGAGGGCAGTCCTCTCAGATCCTTTATTATCACAGCATTTGGCACATTGCCTAAAACAGAAATATGCCTAGAGCAGAAAAAGAAAGTGGAAGGAACAGCCAAGGACACTGTTTTATATGTACATCAGGTGTCTCAATTTTGACACATGCAAAAATATTTATTACAATGGTTCTTTGTTATTTCGGTAAATAGCATGGTTGAAATCATTAGTTTTCATGGTAGGGTACCCTATTCCTATGGGTAGTTGAGCAGGAAAAGTTTTAAAAGTGTCCAGATTCTCAACTTCGATATGTAATCTTTCCTAACACTGATCTGTCTGCGTTGGTTCTCCTTTCTCACTTTCTCCTTCACAAATATACTTCTCCCACATTATTTAAAAAAAAAAAAAATGGGGTGCCTTGTGGGCCTTTGGCTCAGGTCATGATCCTGGGGTCCTGGGATTGAGTCTCGAGCCCCACCTTGGACTCCCTGCTCAGCAAGGAGTTTTCTTCTCCCTCTACCCCTCCCCCTGCCTGTGCACTCTCTCTCTCTCCCTCTCTCCCTCAAATAAATAAAATCTTTTAAAACTAAAAATAAAAAAATTTTTAAATGCCATCTCTCTCTCATCCAACATTTTATCTATACCACACCAAGGTTAAAAAAAAAAAAAAAAAAAAAAAAAAAAAAACCTTCCAGAGTGCCATAGGGACAATTTGAGAACTGTAACCTCAGAGGAAAAGGCTTCCAAGAGAGCAAATCAGAGAGCTTTCTTAAGAAATCTATGCTGAAAGGAGTAACATTTTAATTTATCCAGGTGACAAACTCATGGTAACACTACTTGCCTTATTTGTCTTAGAATTATAATTCAGAAGTTAAATAGTTATATGTATTTTACTTGAAAAAGAAGTTGGGCATTTTCTAACAAAGTAAATCTCATTTGGCTGATTGTTAGCAGTGAGAATTTGCTATGCAAATTAGGTTATATGGAGGACATTTTCTATAGATAATATGAGCTAAATTTGCAGTTCCAAGCTTTCAAGAAAGACATATGAAATATATACATGTATACAATATAAAACACATTGGAAATTAGATTTTTTGCAGTTATTACTTTTTTAAAGATTTATTTGTGAGAGAGAGCACACACGCATTCGAGTGCATGCACACGAGCCCAGGAGAGGGTCGGAGAGAGAGGGAGAAGCAGGCTCCCTGCTGAGCAAGGAACCGGAGATGGGGCTTGATCCCAGGACCCTGGGATCTTGACCATAGTTGAAAGGAGACACTTAACCAACTAAGCCACCCAGGTGCCCCCTTTTTTTTTTTTGCAATTATTTTATCTTATGATAATGTTTAGATGTGAACTTTAAAATGTGTAAAGAGTTAAGTAATTTTTCAAAACTCTTTTAGGTATATAATTTTTAAAGTTTAAGACCACTAATCTACAAAATTATTTTTCTGGAGCACCTGGGTGGCACAGTTAGTTAAGCATCCAACTCTTGGTTATGGCTTAGGTTGTGATCTCAAGGTCATGAGATCAAGCCCCATGTTGAACTCCATGAGCTCCTCACGCACCATGGAGTCTGCTTGAGATTCTCTCTCCCTCTCCTTCTGCCCCTTCTGCTCATGTTCTCTCTCTCCAAAATAAAACAAAACAAATAAACAAATAAACAAATGCCACTGCCCACCACATCTGAAGAGGATATAAAAATACAAGTTGGAAGTCTTATCCTTTGGAGATTCTGATTTGATAGGCTGGTAGGGTCCAGGAATCTGGATTATTAACAAGATCCTCAGATAATTATTTGGAGTCACCAGACCTAGATTTGTTGTTTACCCCTAATTCAATGTATGAATTTACACAAAATTTCCCCTCTCTCTGAGCCTCAGTTTCCTTCTCCATAAAGTATTAGAGGGGAGGAGGGAGAAGACTGGTATTAGACTGGATAATTTCTTATGTATCTTAGACTCCTCGATTCTCATTACTTCCTTTCAGAGGCAGGAGAATGGACCCTAAAAGGCAGTTGCAGAGAAAAGAGGTTTAAGTAACATAGCAGGCAGGGGACAGGGGAAAGAACGAAGTTAGCCGAGATAGAGACAAATAGAAGTAAATCAAATAAAAGTAAGGGGCACCTGGGTGGCTCGGGTCATGATCTCAGGATCATGGGATCGAGCCCCATATTGGGGTCTGCACTCAGCATGGAGTCTGGTTGAGATCACCTCTCCCTTCCCTCTACCCCTCCCCCTGCTCATGCTTGCATGCTCGTGCTCTCTCTCTCTCCCCCCCCCCCCCCGCCGTCTTAAATAAATAAATAAAGTCTTTTTTAAAAAAAGTAATAAAACCTGACCTGCCTGTCTCACATGGTATCTCTATAGCTTAAATAAGAATTCAGCTAATCCCTCACATGGGTATGGAATAAAATTACATTAGAGGATAATTTTTTACCTGATCCTCACAGTTACTTTAGCAATACTTAGAGCAGGTATAATTATCCCCATTTTAAAGATCCAAGAAATCCAGAGGAAGTGGCTTGCCAAGGCTAACGGTGGGATTGAGGAAAATCTATAACTAGGTTTCAGGTTTCTGACTTCCAGGCTAGTGTTGGTTCAACTACACCAATTTGGAATGTATCCAAATGGACATAGAGAAGACTCTCTTCTTTTCTTTTTTTTTTTTTTTAATTTATTTATTTGACAGACAGAGATCATAAGTAGGCAGAGAGGTGGGGAGGGTGGGAGGGGGGAAGCAGGCTCCCTGCTGAGCAGAGAGCTTGATTCGGGGCTGGATCCCAGGACCTTGGGATCATGACCTGAGCCGAAGGCAGAAGCTTTAACCCACTGAGCCACCCAGGCATCCCAAGAAGCCTCTTTTCTAAGAATCTCCAGGAACACTATGAGAAGGAGTAAAGGAGACTCTCATCTGCTTTGAGCTTTAGCCCATGGTCAAGATCATGCATACCACAGTCTCTTCAACATCCTGAGAACTTCCTCAAAGACCTAAAACCTCTGGCAAGGATGCCTACATATGTCTACCTTCACAATCCTTGGCAGTGCTCAAGTGTCACAGAAGGACTTGTATAGTCATTTGTTCCTAGAGACATGACCCCCATTCGCAGAAATAAGGCAAAATACACTGTCTCCAACATTTTCTTCCTAAATAAAATTACAGCTCACTGGCAAAAATCTTGCCCCACCCTCCCAGAATGTGAGCTCCATGAGGATAAGGACCAGATCTCTTTTTTTTTATTGCTATGTCTAAGCACCTAATATATGCCTGGCACATATCATAAATATCTATACACTAATTTTTTTAAAAGCCTGCTGCTAGGAGCACCTGAGGGCCTCAGTGGGTTGAGCCTCTGCCTTCGACTCAGGTCATGATCTCAAGGTCTTAGGATCAGGCCACACATCTGGCTCACTGCTCAGCAGGGAGCCTGCTTCCCCCTCTCTCTCTGCCTGCCTCTCTGCCGGCTTGTGATTTCTCTCTCTATCAAATAAATAAATAAAATCTTAGAAAAAAGAAAAACCTGCTGCTAGAAGCTAGTAGATTGTCCATGGAGCATAGCTATCTATAAGTTGGATCCTTACCTAAAAGCATATACAAAAATTAACTCAAAGTGAATCAAGGACCTAAATTTAATACCTAAAACAATAAAATTCTTAGAAGAAAACATAAGATAAAAATTTCATGACGCTGGTTTGGCAATGATTTCTCAGCTATGACCCCATAAACACAGAAAACAAAAGAAAAAATAGACATTGGACTTGATAAAAGTTTTAAAATTTTGTGTATCAAAAAACACTATCCCCATGATAAAAAGGCAACCCCCAGCATGGGAGAAAAGATTGGCAAATCATGTATCTCACAAGGGATTAATATCCAAAATATATAAAAAACTCCTAAAGATCAATAACAACAAAAACAACACAATTAAAAAATGGGCAGAGGGCTTGGATAGACGATTCCCCAAAGAAGACATACACATTGCCAATAAGCACATCAAAGATCACTAATCACTAGCGAAATGCCAACCAAAACTACAGTGAGATACCAGTATTAACAAGTGAATAAGGGCAGCGCTCTCAGATCCTTTATTATCACAAGTTCCCTAATGTATAAAGTTCATACTGTTCAGCTATGTCCTGGGTTCCTCCAGGGTCTGGCCCAATTTTAAGTGATCAAATTCAGCCATGCTATTCTTTTAGGGCCATTTTCAGCTCCAGATGAAGCTCTCTCAGCCCCTGGGCAGGAATACTGCAATGACAGGGAAATGAATGGACAGGGGCAAGAGCTCGGGAAAACTGGGTTTCAAGTCAAGCTTTGCTACTTCTTTTTTTTTTTTTTTTAAAGATTTTATTTATTTATTTGACAGAGATCACAAGTAGGCAGAGAGGCAGGCAGAGAGAGAGAGAGGAGGAAGCAGGTTCCCTGCTGAGCAGAGAGCCCGATGTGGGGCTCGAACCCAGGATCCTGGGATCATGGGATCATGACCTGAGCTGAAGGCAGAGGCTTTAACCCACTGAGCCACCCAGGCGCCCCAAGCTTTGCTACTTCTTAAAACATGAAAGCTTTCACAAATTATTTTACTTCTCTGGGCCTCAGGTGCTTCGACGGTAAATGAGGGAACTATTTCAGTAAATGTGCTTTCTAGATATAGGTTTTATTATTCATTCTGGCTGAGAACAAGAAATAGGGTTGGAAAGGGAGAATTGGGAAAACCTTCACAAAGAAGATGGCATTTCAGATGGTTATGAAAGCATAAGCAGGATTTAGACTGGCTCAAATAAGGAACAGACCAACTCAGGGAGATGGGAACAACATTAATTAGCTTAGATACAGAAGTGGAAAAGCACACACCAGTCTACAGGCCAATACCAATCCCAAGTAATATTTTCAACTACTGCTGGTGGTTTTTCATTAAGTCACACATATTTGACTTAAGGACTATATTTTGTGCTATGTGTTCTGCCTATTCTCATGCAGTTAAATTACCTGTATCCTTACTTGAGTGATAGTCATATTTGCAGTTTCAAAAAAATTCTTACTTCATAAGAATTTTAAACTACAAACTCTTTGGGAGGTCCCTGTTGAAATATTTGTGAAATTTTTAAAAATCTCCATCATTTGATATAAAATTAAAGAGCAAACCAATTCAGTTTAGACCTTAAGCTACATTTGGTGGGCTGTAAGACTGAAAAGATAGAATGTTGAGGTCCTGAAAGTCAAATAAAGATGACTCTAGATTGAAGGACCTTTATCTTGCCCTCATCCAGCACCTGGATACAGATGAATTGTTGCAGCAAGTGTTACCTTCAAATAGAGATGTGCATAAGCAGCTCCTAGGCAGCCTTATGGATCTTGGCCAGAGTCAAGTTAACCCTCCAGACCTCACATTTGTTCCAGAGCCCATACTTGCTAATCAGTTTCAGCTCTCGATTGAGGGCATTTCCTAGAGGATCTCCATGGAGCCACATAGGTTTTTTTGGTGTTTTTTTGTTTTTTGTTTTTATTTGACAGACAGAGATCCCAAGTAGGCAGAGAGGCAGGCAGAGAGAGGAAGAAGCAGGTTCCATGCTGAGCAGAGAGCCCGATGATGTGGGACTCGATCCCAGGACCCTGAGATCATGACCTGAGCCGAAGGCGGAGGCTTTAACCCACTGATCTACCCAGATGCCCCAGCCACATAGGTTTTGTGACAAACCCAGCTCCTGACCACTATTGAGTTGGCTCTACTCTCCCATCTGTACCTAAGCATGGGTCCCAGTGACTGAGAAAGAGCTGTACTTGTAACTTTTTTATAAATTTAGGTATGTTTCAAAACTTTAAAGATTGATAATATAGACTAGGGGGGGATCCTATATTGAATCCCAAATGCTGAATTTAAGTTTTATTCTACAAAAATAAGCCAGAAAGGCCACTAGATTAAAGGTCCCTCCTTCACCTCAAAAATTTTTAACCTACTAAATCCCAAACCATGAAGGAATGGAAATGATCTTTGCCAGAGTGGTCACCTGACAATCGGTGCCTACTGCTTGTCATATCACAAATGAAATGGAATGAGAGACTAGTCCTCACTTTCACAAGCTTAAAATCCTTTAACTAGAGAGATCCAAACCACCCACCATCTAAGGCCAGTCTTGGGGGACAGTGATCAAGGAAAACAAGAAAATGCCATTGCAGGAAAACAAAGGAATGCAAAAAGAAGTAAGTATGGTCAATCACCATTTCCCAGAAATGGTGGATTTTGAGCTAAGTTTGAGAAAAGAGGCTAAGTGTGCATGAGAGGAAAGAAGGGCATTTCAGAAAGGAGAGAAAGGTCATCATGTGGCTGCAGGTCTTGAATCTCTCTGCCTAACAATGCCCTTGGACGTGTGTGATATGTATGAATATTACCACCACTGCATAGTAATAAATTCTTTTCAGTATGTTTTCTTATTGTCCATGTAAGCTAATCCTCATGGCAATTTTTTGAGATAGGCAAGATAAGACTTGCTATCCCATTTGAAAGGTCTCAAAGCTGAGGCTCAGAAGGGTGACATAATTTGCCAAAGGGCACAAAGCAATGGTTAGGACCTCTGCCTGCAGATCCTCAGGCTAGCTCTTTTTTTTTTTTTTTTTAATATATATGATCCAGAGATTGATCTTTTCAAAATGTCTGATATGTCATACTTCTAACTGAAATTCTTCATTGGCTCCTTAGCACTTGTCAAAGCTGCAATTTTGTATCTCTGCGTATGAAATATAAATTATTAATCCTCCCCAAAGTTTCTCCTCCCAGTCTTCTTCATTCTCTAATTCAAACTAATGAAAATTCCATTTTTTCTGATGCTCAGACAAAAAAAAACCTTTGAGATATTCTTTTTGTAAAAAAGAGAGCGAGAGCAGCAGAGGGAGAGAATCTCAAGCAGACTCCCACTGAGCAGGAAGCCTGATGTAGGCCCCATGATCCATGAGATCACAACCTGAGCCGAAACTAAGAGTCTGACGCTTTACTGACAGAGCCACCAGGCACCCCAAAAAACCTCTGAGATATTCTCGACTCCATTCTCTTCTACCCCACATCAAGTTCATCAGCAAATCCTACTGGCTCTGCCTCCAAAATATTCCAAAATCTGACCATTTTCATAACATCTACCCTTATCTCCATTTTTATATTTTTCTTGAACTACTGTCGGTGCCTGCTTACTGTCCCTTTGCCTTCGCCCCATGCCCCTCATCCACTACTCTCAAGGTAGTGTGCAAACTACATATGGTAGATATCCAGTAGAAAATTGTTTGATGAGTGGATAAATGAGCACATCTCAGCTGAGGAGAGGATGTTATTTCTTTGAGGTTTGCCCTTTCATGTCTTTTTGTTTGCCCTTTAATGTCTTCAGCTTTATAAATTATAAATTGTAGTCAACATTTCTAAAGCTAGCCCTAAAACCTCAAAATAAACTACTGGTTAGACAAATGGCAAATTGAGGCCTGACTCACCACATGTGGAAAACTGTCAAAGAAGCAAAGGCTATGTAAATAAGCATAGTGTCTACAACAGAGAATATAAGTTTTCTGTCCAGAATAAGCTACAATTGCAATGTGACTGGCCATATCACTTCCACTCTCTAAGCCTCAAGTTCCTCATCTGTTAAACAGTGTTGTAAACCATAACCAGGTTCAAAAAAAAAGGGGGGGGGGAACGAACATATTAGTACATTATAAAGGAGACAGTTTATCATTAGAATAAATAGAAAAGTCTTAGGTATTGTAGGAGATTGTAAGTTGGATGGTAGAGTATGGCTATCAATGGGACTAATGTAATCTTAGATATGTAAAGTTAGAACAAAGAATGGTAATAGTTCCCTGCCCAAGGCAGACCATAGCTAACATAGCTAGAATACTTCACTAGAGATACAGACCAACTACAGTGTGTCCAGAGGAGACCGACATGGTTGATAAAGGAGTTGTTCAGGAAACCACATCATATAAGAAATCTGGGAATGCGGACTCGGTATTACCTCATCCATAAAATAAGAACACTAGACCAGATTAGGGGTTTTCAAACAGAGCTTTACAAATCGCTAGATGTTCCACACATATAGCTTACAGGGACCTCAGTGACAGTGACCTGGTGAAGAAGCCAAGAGAATGTGGTTCTGGTCTTCTCATTCATGTTTCAACCAGATTAACTCTGCTCTCGCCTGTTTCAGGTACAGGGCTCTTGGTAATAATGATAAAAACAGCTAACACACTGTTTACCAAGCAGTAAGCCCTTTATACAGATTATTCTAACTATTCTTCAAAACAATCTATGTCATAGAAACTGTTATTATCCCCATTTATAGATAGGAAAATAATTGAGGTTTGAAGAGGTGAGGCAGAGCACTTGGGTGGCTCAGTTGGTTGGGCAGCTGCCTTTGGCTCAGGTCATGATCCCAGGGTCCTGGGATAGAGTCCTATGTTGGGGCTCCCTGCTCAGTGGGGAGTCTGCTTCTCCTTCTCCCTCTGTTCTTCTCCTGCTCATGTGCTCTCTCAAATAAATAGTCTTTAAAAAATAAAAAATTAAAAGGGATGCAACTTGCCCAACTAAGAAGTATTAGATAAAATAAGGATTGAAATCCAGGCAGAGTCCAGAGCCTACTGTTGTTAATCACTATACATACAATTTTTATTTGAACGAAAGGATTCTAATGCCTTAAAAACATTGAAAATTACTGAATTAGATGATCTTCAAGACATCTTCTGGATTTAAATTTTTGTAATTCCATATTCAGCCTAGCAAAGGGATATTATAACTGCCTTCAAATATCACAAAATAGGATTATTTTATGTAGCCCTAGAAAACAGAAGGAAAACCAAAGGAAGAGGATTGAGTGGAGAGAAAGTTATAGTGAGGGAATATATCTAAGAACTTTGTAGCAGAGATGCCCAACAATGGGACAGATTGTGAATGAACTCTGTGGTCTTGGTAGTGTTCCAAAATCAGAATGATCATACATAGAGATTGTTGGGGATGGAGATATTGGGGCTACAATTCCTGCTTTGTTTAGGAAGTGGATTAAATGACCTCAAAGGAGGGGCACACTCGGGTGACTCAATAGGTTAAGCATCCACCTTTGGCTTGGGTCATGATCCTGGAATCCCAGAATCAAGCCCTATGTGGGGTTCCCTGCTCAGGCGGGAGTCCCCTTCTCCCTTTCCCTCTGCTCCTCCCCGTTTGTGTTCGCTCTCTCTCAAATAAATAAGTAAAATCTTTTAAAAAATAAAAAATAAATAAATGACCTCAAAGGATTAGAACTGAGAATCTCAAATTCTCAGAGGTTTAAGGTATCAGACACTGAGGATCATTATCTGTGTCCAGTTTCTCTCAAACCAAAACCAAGAAGGAAGGCCCATCCTCATCTCCATGCCTTCTGTACTTAGAGTTTGTACCCTGAAGCAAGAGCCCATGCTCCACCTGACTATCTGCTACTTTTAAGAGACAAGAAGTCACCACTGGGTTCCTACCCTACCTCCAACTTCTCCCAGTTGCCCTGTCACTGCAGTTCCCCATATATGGGACAGCAATTCTAACGGTCATCGCTAGAAGTAACTTCAACAAGTATCCTGTTCATCCCCTACAGTTTACAGGTGGGAAAAAGAAAGCTCAGAGAAGGGCATTACCTAAGCCATTCTCCTCACTGTTTACTAAACACACTGGTATAAGAATTCAGGCCCAGACACAAACTGAAGAAAGTTGACAGGAGCTCAGGACACTGAATCAGGCTTCAAGACAGTTTCCGTTTATTACATTCTTAGTATCACATATGTTAGCATATATAATAATATACTAATCTATAACAAATGATAATACACATCTATTATTCATATCCCACCTACTTCTAAAAAGTGACCAGTGACTTGGACAATACAGCCTACTTGTCTCATTTTCACCACTTCAGGGAAGAATTCTTTAAGGCATCAAGGGTCATGAAACTCAGGGAGAAGTGAAAGAGACAGATTAGAGATTCACCATAAACATGAAATCCTGCTGCCCTCCTCCGCAATCTGCCTACCTGATTCAAACTGGAGAAAGCCTGTTCCGAGCAACAGTTATTTCCTCACATACCTCCACTGGCTGAAAGTGTATGCTACCCACACTAGTAGGGCCCCCAGGCAAGGGGTACAGACTTTCTACCTCAGCCCTTTCACCCCCAACCTTCTGAAATCCTGCCTTTATTTCACCATCTCCAACAGAAACCCAGCCCACCTACTGAGTCACCATAAAGTCCCTATAGGTTGCATCAGAACTTCTAAAAACCACTTCCTCTTCAGAAACAATCATAGACTCCTGAACTATAAGAGGCAGAAGAAGGACCTTGCAGAATATCTATAGTTAATCCTCCACAACTCCCAAAAAGGGAAGGCCCAGAGAAGGGAAGAGATGGTCTGAGGCCATCTTCTTTCTTAAGTGTTTTTCCACACCATGTATATTTTAATTAGTAAATACACCATTGTGAAACCAGTGAAGACATAGAGGGAGGACAAAAAAGTCCTTCCCTTCCCATATCACTGAAAGGAATTCCAGAACATGGACCTAGGTAATTAACAGAGCCCTTCCATATGAATGCTAGGACAGTACACACTTTGGGGTCTGGCTTTCCGTATCACCTTGACAATCTTCTCCCTATCAGAACATGGGCTTATCTCACTTTCCCACCTTCTCAAAGACACATACACATACCTCACAGGTATCTGGAGAATTCTAAATATCACACTCTGGAATTCATACTTGGGAGCACACAGGGATTCTAAGAGCAGAGTTTCTGTCCAAAGGTCGCTCCTAAAGTCACCTGGCTCTCAGAAGCAGTTTCTAAGGAAGAATTAATAATAGCCCGAGGCTATAGGGCAATGATTCAGCGGAGGATGAGAAGTAAGAAGGCACAGAGATGATGACAGCCAGAGGCAACTGAAAACAAACAGTGGAAGGAACGGACTATACTAAATTTCATGTGTTTTGAAGACTGGGGTCCTCTTCTGGAATAACCTAGAGATTTAGCAGTTAGTATAAATTGCCAGAATAATAGCCATTGACCACTCTTTCCCCCCTTCCCCACAAACCCTTTAATTAATCAGCTAAATTTTCTACGGTCCCCTAGTGTCTCTTCAACTAGCCAGTCCCTACTCCTTGCACTACCCCTAACATCCCCCACTGACTATCTCTCCCTGAGTGTCTATTCCAGTAACTTTTGTCACCAATCACCTTCTCACCAAATGCATTCAGCCCCTACTAACACCTCTAAGGCCACACTAGGAGGAAGAAAGTACAAGAGAGGTTGAAATCACTTATTTAGAGGGCAAATTTAGCTTTTGGATCAGATGAGCATGTGTCTTTGAAAAAGGTAAAATGTTGTATAGAGTAAAGGGAATGTTGACTCTTCTCAACTTTGTCTCTCCACCAACATATGAAGTTACCTATGTTTTTTTCTTTTCTCCAAATTACTTTAAAATTTCATCTTTCCATTCCATTCCCACCAGCAGTAACCCATTTCAGGTACCTCTATCCTGGATAATAAACTCCCAGAAATCTGGCTTCACACTCCCATTTTCTTATGTATCCAGATTAATCTTCTTAAACCCAGTTATGACCACATCATTCCCCTGCATATAATCCTTTCACAGGTCTCCAAAAAATAGTCAAGATCTCCCATTCCTGGACCTCATCCACTGTTGAAGATAACCTTGACTCCTCTTTGTCTCACTCCCCACATCCAATCCAAGTCAGCAAATTCCATGGGCTCTTCACTCAAAATAGATCCAGATTTTGACCACTTCTAACCATCTTCAAGATACTACTATGGTCTAAATCACCAACATTTGCTCATCTGATTTCCAAAATAGCTTCCCAATTGTCCTCTCTGTTTCTACTCTTGCCTTCTATCTATTCTCAACACAAAAGACAGAAAGATTCTAAATACATCAAATCATTTTTGTGCTCAGTCCAGTGGTTCCCTATTTCACTATAAATAAAACCCGAAAGCATATATTGACTTTCAAGCTTTTGTATGATCTAGTGTCCTGCTGACCTTATTCCTAATCTAATATTCTTTCTTTTTCTAGTTCACACTGCTTCAGCTCCAATAACTTCCCAGCTAGTCTTCAGCCAAGCAGCAGCATTCCTACCTCAGGGCTTTTGCACTTGCTCTTCCACGTACTTGGAATATTTCTCCTTCCCAACCTAACCATCCACATGGCAGACCCCATTTCCTTCCTAAATGTCTGCTCAAATGTCACCTTTATCAGACAGTTCTTCCCTTATAAACCCCCACTCTTTGTTGCCATTCCCTTTTCCTTTATGCCATGCTGTAGTTTTCTATAGCACTTATCACTACCTGTTATATATTTACTGGCTTGTTTGTTTATTGTCTCTCTCCTCAAGCTGAAATATAACCTCCATGAAGGCATGGATATTGTTCAGAATAGTTCCTGGTATGTAGCAAGTTCACAAAAGTATTTATTGAACGAATAAATTGTTCCCTCTATGAACTCTTCACTCCAGACAAATTTGGTCTTCTCACTGTCCCAATATAATAGTAATGATGGCTAATATTTTTTGAGTGCTTTCAATGTGCCAGGAATTGGACACATCAGTTTGTTATACTATTCAATCAATAATTCTATGAAATGGAAACTTTTATCCACATTTTACAGTTGAGGCTAAAAGAGATTAAATAATTTATACAAAATCATACAGCTATTTAGTGGCAGAAACAGGATTCAGGTTAGCCGGACACCAAACTTATTCTCCTGTTATCATACTGCCTCCTTACATGCTTTCTCCCATCTGTGAACTTTTTGTGTAAGTGACTCTTTGCAATTTGGGCCCCATAATTGCTTTGCACCTGATTTATGTAGGCCCATTTGGTGTTCCAAAGAGAACGTCAATTCCATGACACCAAGATCTGGGCCATTAACACACGATAACACAATTTATCTCATATTTGTAAGCAAATGAACTTAAAGTTAATTCAAATTAATTTGACTAATACGCAAGTTACTCTTTTCAACTGTCACAGCCTAGTGTTGGACAACTTGAATAATAAAGTAGGATCATACGGTGAAGAAAAGAATAGCAGACTAGGAGTGAGGATATCTGGAGACTGGTCTCAGCTCTGTCTCCAACCAGGTATATAACCCTTAAGCAAATCACTTAGCCATCCGGGTCTTTAATCTATCCATCTGTAAAAAGAATTGGCCTAGATGGAGTCTAAATGGTCACTTCAAGTTCTAAAAATACTATTATTCCACGAACATCTACAATGTGTCAAGCCAAAAGTAAAAGGCCAAATTCTTCCTTAATATAGTTCTAAGAGCACTATTTCCTCTGTGCATTATTTCAGAGCATGCCCCAAACAAGCAATGAGCTATAAATGTGGTTTGC